TAGCTGCAGTAACTAAAACCACCACGTAAACAACTAAAGTATAAACTACATAGTATCATCAGTATACTAAATATACTCTACAATAAGCTGAGTTACTAACAGTAATTAATACATTACAATTCTACGTCGTAAAAAATATAATATGCTTCCATCTAAACTTTATTCTCTTACATCACACGAGTCTACACCGTACTATATACTGCCATAGACAAACCCAACATTAAATTATATACTGTATTGCTATAAACCACCCTAAACCTTATACATTGTAATATTACACTATGTATTATTCTACCCACCCTAATGTATATCACACTGCTGTATATTCACTATACAATTACGATACTATATATTACTTTGTACATTGTATTAAGCATATACATTTTTATACAATTTTTTATACTATTTGTTATTATACACTGTATCATTGACCGTCGTGTGTAAGATACTAAGAGGAAGCAACGAAATATGTCAATGGGAGAGTATAGCTAGGAAACTTGCAGCGGAGCAAAGAATCCATTCCCTGCAAAGAATACAATGCCAGTGAGTTGAACACGGTCTGAAAGTAACGGTAAACGTGAACACAATCAGTTAAGATCCGAAATGGTTTATTACGTCCTTCCAATGATTGCTAAGCCAGAATCCATCTTCTCGGTTGAAATTGTCTCTGTGTTTGTATATGTGGATCGCCTCATGAACGAATCTCTCATGGTAGCCAAATGGCTTGCAGAGAACCTCTGTCTTGGAGAAGTCAATATCATGTGAGCCCACTGAATTGTAACAGTGATCTGCCACGGTTTAGGTGTTTGTCCTACCGTGTTTCAAGTCTGCTTTATGTTCACGGATGCGGTCCGAGACATGTCGTTTGGTTTCTCCAATGTAACTGCTACCACAGAGGCAACTTAGTTTGTAGACGCCAGGGTACTGTATGTCTGGAACCACATCTTTTACAGATGGGACCAGATCACGGATGTTATGTACCTTGTTGAATCGGACCTGTATCTTGTGTCTTATCAGGATTTTGGAGATCTTTTTTGTGACCCCATGCGGTGACTTGGTATGCGGGCTACATGGCCCTGCCAACGCAGCCTTTCCTGCCGGAGGAGCTCACCGATGGGACTTTATCAACATCTTTCAAGGATTTGTGAGCTTCTCACACAATACAGCCTGGTTAAACCCAGGATGGATCGTAGGCAGGCTAGCCTAAATGTTTCTAACCAGCGAAGATGTTCCATTAGTGGGGTCCATGTTTTCCAAGCGTAGAGAAGGGAGGGAATGACTGTGGCCGAGAAGACCTGAAGCTTCGTGCGGAGCGGCAGACGAGGTAGATTCCGCACAGCATTACACAACCGATGAAAAGATAATGCCGCTCGACTGATTCGGAGTGAGACCTCTGCTGTTAAACCAGAGCCAGTCATAAGCACACTGCCCAGATATGGGAAACTTTACACTTTCTCCACAACTGCCCCATCACCAATTGGGAGTTGTGGGTGTGGAGTGTCCCATTGTACAAAATACTCTTGCAGGTGCTTAGATTTGGTGGGGCTGATGGTAAGGCCCCACCTCTTAGTGGCAAGCTCCAGGTTTAGCTGCAGTGAGTAGCGATTACCAGATCATCCGCATACATAACATGGTTGAGCAATAGGGAGCCATCCCTTGGCCGCACCCGAGCATCGATCAGCCTCCCATTATATCTGTACCAGATGGAAATTCCTTCTGTACAACCATTGAAGGCCTCACGAACTACGTGGTCAAAATAGATGTGAAATAATGTCGGAGCGAGAGGACATCCCTGTCACATCCCAAGGTGTACAGCGAATGGCTCCGACTCCCGGCCACGTAGTTTTACCCAGGCCCACTCATCATCATGAAGGTCCTAATTATCGTGAGCAGAGGGTCAGGGACTCTGAAAGCACGAAGAACAACCCAGAGCCCAGGCCTCCTGATGGTATCGTAGGCCTTGACCAGGTCAATAAAGCAGAGATGTAAGTCTTGTTGGAATTCCCTACACCTCTGCTGTAGCAGACGGAGAGAAAATATGGCATCCGTGCAGGATCACCCTTTCCTGAAACCACATTGAGGCTCCACAAGCCTCTACTCAGCGTGCCTAGAAAGGCGATGCTGAATAATCTTTGCCAGGACCTTTCCCGGCACACTGAGGAGTGAGATGCCCCTGTAGTTGTTATAGTCTGTGTGGGCTCCCTTTTGAAATAGGAGGACCACTAGGGCATCCTTCCAGTCCTGCAGAACCCGTCCAGTGGTCCAGACTGTTGTTATGATGTCATGTAGGGCAGTCTGTGCACAAACGCCACCCTCCCTCAGCATTTCGCTTGGGAGATCATCTCTGCCCGGTGCCTTTCCTGGTCTCAGACTCTGGATCGCCTTTAGTACTTCCTCAATAGATGGCACCTCAGCCACACACTCACAGGGGGTGACTTCTTCAAATATTTGGGGCACCGCAGCCTCCGTAGGGTCATCTCCACTTTGTCCCACGATGTTTCCCATGTCGAGGGATTTCCCCTCCCCAGGACTTCACAGAAATGCCCAGCGAATCTGCAAACCTGTTCCTGGCAGTCGGAAATTGGATCACCGTTTTTTCCCAAAATGATGGTAAAAGGTGTGGCGCTGCAGGTTACTTTTTTGATGGAATTAAATAGAGTGTTTGTGATCGCGGGCCATTGAGGCAGACTCCATCTCCACAGCAACCCGCGACCACCACCCATCCTTGCAGCGCCTCACGGCTCTCTGAACGTCCAAGCGAAGGCTGCGGTAAGCCTCCTTCTCTGACGTGGGATGCTGTAGACAATTAGAGTGGCCCTGTCGCTTTTTCTCAACTACCCTGAACACCTCCTCTGTCAGCCAGGGTTTCTGGGGAGGTCTGGACTGCGTACTTAAGCAGCCATTGCACCTGCATGAGTCACTTACCCTCGACATCTGGAGGAGTGGGGGACGATGCCAACCCCAGGAGCAAGCGATGATGAAATTCTCGCTTGCAACTTTCATCAGCTAGCTGAGGTCAGGCCACCTTAGTTTGGAATGGGGTCCTGGGTGTACACCCACCACCGGAGTGGAAGAATGGCAGGCGCATCTTACAGATGACAAGTCGATGGTCAGAGGGCAGATCAGCTCCACGGTAGGTCCTGGTGTCAAGGACATGGGCCCTCGTCCGATGATCCGTCACTATGTAGTCCAGAAACTGTTCTTGCTTAGACCCGCCATGCATCCATGATGTTGTGTGGATGTGCCGATGCCTGAACAGCATGTAGTTAATTACAAGTCCTTGGGCTGCACAACAATCTAGCAGCCTCCTACCATTGTTATTGAGCTAATCTGGCCCAAGCCTTCCAGTCACTCCAGACCAAGTGCCAGTATCATGACCAACTCGGGCATTGAAGTCACCCAACAAGATGACTCTATCCTGAGGGCCACTTTAGCTAGCACCTGTGACAGGAGGTCATAGAAGGCATCTGACATATCGGCCTTGCCTGCATCTCTCCACAGATGTTCGTCTTCAGTGGGGGCATAAGTAACCACGACCACCACTCCTCACCTCCGGTTGATGGGAAGGCGAGCCCAAAGTAGCCTGGGCTTATAGCTTTCCACACCTCGCCGCCACGCTCTTACACCCCCTTCATTCTTTTGTTCAGAAGAAGAGACACTCCCTGTTGTTTAGTAGTCTCCTGCCCTGAGCAGAGGACTGTCCACCCTCATAGTGGCTGGAGCGAGAGCCGGTCCACTGGAACGCCTGAATGCCACAGAGATCCAGGCGGTACCGGTCCAGCGCCCGACAGAGGAGTGGCAGCCTCTCCTCCACAGTGAGCGTTCGCACATTCTACGTGGCCATCCGTAGTGATTTTTTGTTGTTTCTGGAGGTAGAGATTCAATCTCCTAGCTCCGTCAGGTGGGGTTTAAGCAGGAGACGTCATAGACACCTGTCCCCCCGGGGCCTCCGGCACAAGCTTATTAATTAGATATCTTAGACGTGGTTTAGTGGTAATTTATTGAAGGTGGAGGGGGTACCACCCTCTCGCACCCGTCCAGAGCCCCCAGGGGAAAGTCTAATTGGAATTGGCCCTCCCCCCACAGCACTGTCCACGACAACGTTGCCTGTCCGGCACCACATGGAGGTAGGGGGTTGTTTTGTCGGACACACACAGTAACAACGGGGTAGACCCAGGTGCCATGGGTCGACTGACTCCGTTGACTGGCCAATGCACCACCTGTACCCCCGACTGTGCCAACACACAGTGTACACGCACACACACAGTTTGTACACACAGTGTACACACACACGGTGTGTACACATACACATTGTATACACACAGTTTGTACACACACAGTGTACACACGCATACAGTTTGTACACACACAGTGTACACGTACACACACAGTCTGTACACATACACATTGTATACACAGTGTACACACACAATAATGTTCACGTTGTTGTTGAGTTCACACACCCAAGGGGTCTCTGTTCAAGAGAGGCAACAATAGAAATGTAATCTAAATAAACTTAAACTCTCACCCTGATCTCGCTCTCTGACGTCACCACTCATTAACTTGTCGGCGTGAGACGCCAGGGAGAGCTGTACCCCGCTAGTGACGTCATGTCACCAAGGTATTCAACCCCCCAACCCCCCCTCGACCGCGCTTTTGAGCGTGACGTCACGTCTAGTTGGTTACTGTCGATTTCTGTTCCAGTAAAAATCCTTTTTTGGGAAAAGCTACGCCCAGTTACTGGCGGTTCATTAACATGATTTATTCATGAAAACCGTCGCGAGTTAATTGCAACCAGTTTCGCAGCCAAGCCCAATCACTCCACATGGGCCCGGCTTATTAACATAATTTATTCAATTACACCGCTGCTTGTTGGGGGAGGGGATTGTGTGATGAACTCCGCTAGTGACGTCATGTCACCTCCTGCTGCCGCGTGACGTCACGATATATCCGGAAGCTGCTGCACCGTGCGCGCGCTCACTGAAATCCGAGGTGAGAAGTTCACATCGTGGTGGTTGTTGTTGTCGTGGTGGTTGTTGTTGTTTACCCAGGTAGAGCCTCGCTCCGTCTCTCTCTTGTAGGGATATAAATTGAGTAGCAGCGAGTATGGAATCGATGTCCAGGTTGGAACATTACAACGCGGGGCCTTGCCTCCTGCCCTCGCTTGATTGTATTTGCTTTAATTATCTGCTCAAGTTTAATTTGTCTTCACCTGGCTCACTACTTTGAAATGTGTTTCTTTTAATTATTTCTACAGTTTTTTTTTTATCCTACCAGGCCAAGCCCACTTCAGATGCTATACCGCTCTTGTTTTCAGAAGCGACCTGCCCACAGCAAAGTGGCTTATCAACGTGTGGAAATGTGTATCGGTCAAACACTCTAAACGCGTGGTGATGTTGACTCTTAATGTGGAGGGAAAAACCATGAGGATCCGGAGGAAAATCCACGCGACCACAAGGAGAGAGACACGCAAATTATAAATATACATCCTTAATACAGGTTTGTTTGGGTTAGATCGCATAAAAATAGAAATGTGTTGGTAAACCCGACAGCCAATTAGGAAGGGGTTGTCACATAAACAGCACGTGGCCAATTCGTCACGATTGCAGCACTACACCGGTTGTGTGTTGGAGAGCCAAGCCACAACATTTACAATCTGACTACGACGTTTGCCAGTAATTACAACCAGCTTCATCAGGCGACAACCAAATGTTGTGCCTTGGTTCTGTGGGAAGATACATCGGGTCGCTGGGTTTATAACGCAGCACGCTAACCATTGCGCTACCGCTCCCCACTGATGCACAAACATGATCATCGGAAGTATAGTATTTATTCAATACTTGCTAAGTTTCCTGGCTTTGCATAGGGTCTCAGTAATCAAACATTAAGATTAATGTCTTGCAATGCTGGCTTTATTGGAATTATTGAATTCTGCCAATGAAGTCTGTACATGTGTGTATATTGTCACGGTTTCTTGGTTGTGTTATACAATCGCAGGGCTTGTTTGTTTCATAATGACAGCTTTTAAATTCGTTGCCCTTGGAGAGCTTCAGGATAGACAATTTTGGATGTTTTGCCATCTGGTGGGTTTAACCGAATGAAGCTTCAATTTTGACATAAATGTAAACAGCAGTTAAAGCTTACATGGATAGAAAAAATTATAATAAAAAAAATTAAAATAAAGGTAATATAAAAATATCACAACGTTTTGATCGCAACAAGCAATCGTCATCTCCGGTCATGTGTCCTCCGGGGTCACGCAGAGTGCCATGGCCCCTTGCATGGCCGGCACCCTTGCACTCTATCCTGTAGGGGCTGGCACTGCACGCAGAGCGTGGTGCCATCCATTGCTCTCAGTGCTCCCCGAGTCCCGTTAGGGCCGGTAATGCATCCACCTTCAGTGGTGTCTGCGATTTCAATACATGGCGTGCCGTGCCTCTCTCCAAGGCCAGCTTCACACAGTGACATCCAACGATGTCACTACTCATATCAGCTTCAATAATTATGTAGTTTGAGAAGCTCCCAATCTATATATATAAAAATCGCAAATCTGTCTGTCTGTGTGTGTGTCTGTGTGGCCGGACCATACGCAGTTTCATTGGACGGCGGTTGCCCCTGGCAACGGGTAACGACGCATTCGCTGCGGGGTGGACGCAATTTTTAATTCCCGTTAAAAATATGCGCACGCATTAACACGCGACTCTGAGGTAAATTCATCAAAGTTTCATGTCCTCTTCACTCCCCCCCCACCACAATGTGTGCAATTACTATTATAGGGTCGGTAGATAATAAAATTATAGCGATTAGACAGTATTATTGTAGCGCGGGGGGGGGGGGGGGTACCGGACCCAGTACCCAGCCTCAGCCGGGTGGGCATTCTAGGCGAGGCCGGAGGCTCTGCACGGTACTAGGCCTCGACACCCACCACGCGACTCTGAGGTAAATTTATCAAAGTTTCACGTCCTCTTCACTCCCCCACCCCAATGTGTGCAATTACTATTATAGGGTCGGTAGATAATACAATTATAGCGATTAGACAGTATTATTGTAGCGCGGGGGGGGGGGGGGGGAATGGCACCCGTACCCAGCCTCAGCCGGGTGGGCAATTTAGGCGAGGCTGGAGGCTCTGCACGGTACTAGGCCTCGACACCCCACCACACTATAGGCCGTACATATTACTGCACAGCGGCCAAGGAGATCGTGGCTGGGGGGGGCAGGGGTAGCAGCCCATCTGTGTATATATGTAAGGTTATTAAGAAATATTTTTCACCCGGGCAATGCCGAGTACTTATGCTAGTGGTCATATAAAAACCGTTGCATTTATTACGGTTACAATGATACGCTAATCGATGCTGGTTATAGTTAAAGGATCGTTCCCTGCTGGTCAACCATGTTACATCTGCTGATAATTTGGTAATGGCTACTCAATGAGATGGAATTAGGGATAATTCCATCGTGAAATTGGGCCTTGCAAATGTTCCACAAAAAAAATCACCTGCCTAGGAATGTCATGTCATACAACACTGCACCTGCTCAACTCTCCATGAATTATCAGGCAGTTCTACAGTTGTTGAAGGAGCTCCCATACCGGGTTGATGTGTTCACAACTAGCTTTGGTTTGGCAGCCAAAGTCTCACTTAACATTAGTCGAGCAGCATTCTTTTATTAGACTGTGTAACACTGAAAGCTGCCTGGACTTTTGCTCCTTACAAAGCTGTGAGTGTCAATCGCCAAGGTCTAGTCCATATGAGACCAATTTAAGGCCACTCACATGGCCTTAAATTGCACCTATCATGGCATTAGCACTGTGATAAGGTTACTTCCAATTCGTCATGAATGGTGGATGTTTTGTTTATATATGTTAATGATCCATGTGAAATGTATGTGCATGTAAGAGTTTATCTATGTGGGGAGCGGTGGTCCAGTTATTTCACTGCATTATGAACAAACTCTAATAAAATAAAATAAATCACAACGTTTTGGGTGCAACACAGTCTGCCTCAGCAGCAGACCATGCTTTCCCACCTGATGACGGATGCTTGTGTTGTGCCCGAAACGTCGTTATTTATTTTATACCTACGTGACTTTACCGAAAGAACCAAAGAGTATGGATTCCTGCTGTTTTGAAAGCTTTAAATCAAGATTAATACTGAGCAGATGAATGTGGCCAGGCATGGTTCTGGAAACCCCACCACCTTTTTATCATGACAGTGTGTGACAGTGTCAAGTTTGTATTTGCAGTATATTAACTATTGAACAATGAGGTTAAATAAAAAAAATTGTTTATCTCTGAAACTTTTTATAAGAATGGAAACCGGTCAGGAAAATATCTCGGAACATATGCAGCTGAAGTAAGATCTGTTCATCAAAGCATTCAAGCAAATCTGAGCCACATAACTCATACTTAACTTCAAATTTTGCATTCTTTGGAAGAACGTAATCAACCAGGTAAAGTGTTAACTGTTGTGTTAGCCGACTGTGTTGCATTGCATTAAGTTCACAAAGTTGATTTCTCAAGCTTCCAATTTCTCTTCCCCTGCCGCAGATCCCATCTCCCCTTGACTCGACATGCCTGCTGCTGCAGATCCCATCCCCCCCTTGTCTCATTAACATGCTAATTTCTATGCCCCAACCCCCCCTCTCACTATATACCTCGTCACAGAGGCGTTGCTTCTCTGTGTCTCTCTATGTGTGTCTCTCCTGTGTGTGTCTCTCTGGTTGTCTGTCTGTTTGTCTCTCTCCGTGTCTGTTTGTCTCTCTCTCTGTATATGTCTCCGAGCTTGCATTTACATACAGTTCTCACCTGATGACGGTTGCTTATGTTGCAATCGAAACGCTGTGCAATATTTATTTATTTATACTTTCTACGTGACTTTACTGAAAGAACCAAAGAGTAATTCCTGCAGTCACAAAATCTTGAAATCAAAGATTGTATTCATTCCTCTTTGTCTCGATACTGACGTAGATGGTATGGAATACGTTTTTCTGTCTGCAGCTGACGTTTCCTCTGACGCTTCCTCTGCAGAATTGGTCTGATGGAGCAAAGGCACTCAGCGCAGCTCGGTACAAGAAGGAAATATTGCGACCAGTATCCAAACAGCACGGATCGTACTGGAAGTTTGACACAGCACCAGAGAACTCACACAGGAGAGAAACCCTTCAGGTGTAGTGTGTGTGGGAAGGGATTTTCAGATTCATCGACTCTTAAAAAACACCAGAGAACACACACAAGAAGGAAACCTTTCAAATGCACTGTCTGTGAGAAGGCATTTGCACGGGCAGCAGATCTTCAGATCCACCAGAGAACACACACAGGAGAGAAACCCTTCAAGTGCAGTGTGTGTGGGAAGGCATTTTCAAGTTCATTTTATTTTAAAAGACACCAGAGAATACACAAAGGAGATAACCCCTTCAAGTGCAGTGTGTGTGAGAAGGAATTTTTACAGTCATCACATCTTAAAAAACACCAGAGAACACACACAGAAGAGAAACCCTTCAGGTGCACTATCTGTGGGAAGGCATTTGCAGATTCACCGATTCTTAAAAAACACCAGAGAACACACACAAGAGAGAAACCTTTCAAATGCAATGTCTGTGAGAAGGCATTTGAATGGGCAGCATTTCTTAAGATCCACCAGAGAACACACACAGGAGAGAAACCCTTCAAGTGCACTGTGTGTGAGAGGGGATTTGCACGGTCATCAGATCTTCATCGACACCAGAGAACATACAGGCATCAGAAGATCCCCAAGGAGTGTCGTCTGAAATCGACTTGTGAAAGTCAAAGTGCTACAATGAGCCCATCCCTCCTGAAAAAAGAACCAGAAGTACATTCCAGCTTGGACGATATGAAATGTATCAAGGTGAAATGTGAAGAGGCGATAGTGAAGAGCGAAGAAGTGAAGGTAAAATGTGAAGATGTGATGGTGAAGAGCGAAGATGTGAAGGTAAAATGTGAAGATGAAGATTCAACTCCAAAATCGGACCTTCACATCGATGGAGGCAACGTGAAGCAGGAGGAGAATTCTGACTGTGAGGCAGAGCGAGGCAACTCCCAGGAGTTTGTGGAAGTGGAGGTGTGGGTGGACTTCTTAGACAAAACAAAGTCAAATGGAGACCCGGTAGATGTGTAAGCTTGAGACAATGAAGCCCCAGTAGATTCACCTTTGTCACAGGCCTTTAATGAAAGAATGTGAAGTTGAACACTCAATTCTTAGGTTCAACCTGCAGAGTAAGAGGGGCAGTATTTGCAGACCTGTGGGTTGGGTATATATATCAATTTATAACATTTTTTACATGCGTTTTTCTGGATTTTTGTTGTTGTTATTCTGTCTCTCACTGTTCAAATAAACCTACCATTAAAATTATAGACTGATCATTTCTTTGTCAGTGGGCAAACGTACAAAATCAGCAGGGGATCAAATACTTTTTTCCCCTCACTGTAAATAATGTTTTTTTACTTCCAACCTGTGACGAGAGGATTGAATACATGGTGACAGCAAGCACACGCGTGCACAATAGGTCACGACTTCAAAGGCCACAGCGCCCCTTTTTGACAGACTGCAAGTCTGATGCAAAAAATGTTTAACGCTTCCAACCCGTGATGGAATTGTGGGGAACGCTGCCCAAAACGAATACACATAAACAGGGATACAATTGTGTTAAAAGCTTTCTTTTCATCACATAATCTTGCCAGCGAATATATTAAAGCCCTTAGCTAATTGATGCACATTTGTTAGACAAGCAAGCATTACGTTAATTGCATAACACTGGTCAACAAAAAAAACATTTTTATCTGGCCTGGACTTTTGCAGCTGTTTTAGACTTATTTCAGGGTGCCTATTCCAAATCTGATCTCAGATTTGCTCTATCACATCTCATTTTTATGCTATCGGCATACCCCATTTTCATTGATTTTACCCGAAATTAACTCTGTCACTTATGATTGCAAGTTGTTGCGAGTCAGTGACTGCTTTAGTGTTAAAATATGGTGCTGTATTTTTAGGATAGTGTGTTTATAAAATAATTTTATGTAGATATCCACATTTATTTAATATTTGGAATCAGCACCCCAAAATTATCTTAAAACCGTTGGAATACCTTATGCCAGAAAAAGCGTGTTGACCAGTGTAATCTAACAAATGAATTCATTGAGGTCTACCTTTGCTTAGGCACATGTTTCTTTATTACTGTTCGTATGAATATTGTCACATTAATTTAAAAACTTTTTCCTGTCGCTGTGTATGATCACCTTACTCTGAAGAATGAGCCAATTGTTCTGTTACCCAGTTTTACAAACATAATTATTGAGGGTTAAATGTACGGTTCAATGAGGAGGACATCTCCAGGAGTACTGTGTTGGCATTCCTAGCGTAAGAATTTGCATGTTAGAATGTTACGTGTTTTTTTTAGATTAAAGTTGCTTAACACAGAAGAGTCTGAGTGGTGCCTTCCTAAGTCCATGCATAATATTAATTATAAGAACTGTATCCTGCGGAGAGATCTGAATTTGGAGACCTGATATAACATTAAGACATAATCAGTAAAGTTAAAGTGAGAATCATTGTATTATCCTGATTGATAATTCACTGGTCAACACTTTATCTGGCATAAGGTATTCCAACAGTTTTAAGGTAATTTTGGGGTGCTGATTCCAAATCTGGCATCAGTTTGTATCTATCACATCAGGTTTTTGAGATATCAAATATTGCATTTTCAATAAAAACTGCAGAAGAAAAAAAATAAATGTGGATATCTACATAAAATTATTATAAACACTATCCTAAAAATACAGCACCATATTTTAACACTAAAGCAGTCACTCATAAGTGACAGAGTTAATTTCGGGTAAAATTAATGAAAATGGGGTATGTCGATAGCATAAAATGAGATGTGATAGAGCAAATCTGAGATCAGATTTGGAATAGGCACCCTGAAATAAGTCTAAAACAGCTGCAAAAGTCCAGGCCAGAAAAAAATGTTTTTTTGTTATTGACCAGTGATAATACAACCTGAGACAACGAAGCAGAACCTAATGATATTAATTGAATGCATTAGCATAATTACATACACTTGCATAACTGAATACAATTACACCTACCTAATTTGCATACGCGCAACATTTTAATCATTAAATAAATTAGCATAACTTAGGAAAAATTACAGTTTTTAAAAATTTTCATTTCATTTTTTACATTTTTATAATTTTTCAGACCGAATATATACAACAGGTGGAAAATATATTTAAGCAATAATGCAAGAATATAAATCAGCACTGCTCAACGAAACGCCCAACTGCGACTGGAGAAGTCCAAACCATCAAGCACATCACCGATGAATGCTCCATCCATGCACATCCTGGCGGTATCGCTAAAATCCACACTGCATCAACCACATCATTGGACTGGATAAGGAACCTTTGCATTCATTCATGACGATCATTAAAAATAAAAACTGTTGCTTTTCACAATGCCATACTCAAAAAGAACTGCGAGTCAAGCTCCGGGGATTGCCCTCGTGACTGGCAAATTGATAGGGAGCTCTGCATCGTCAGAAGCCACGCGTCACGGAGAGTTTTTTGTTGTTGCGTCATTGAGAAAGGCTGCCAGCTATGGCTGGTGCTCGCAGTATTGCAATCCAGACGTGGGGAAGAGTGACAAGCATTACTTTTCCCGGTGGCGAGATCGCTCTGGGCAGCAAACACGACCATAGAGTGACAATCGTTCGGATTGTGCTCAGATCAAAGTCAACCCTTTGAGGGAAAACTGGTGCAAGTGCCCCTTGAAATCGCAACCGACAGGCGAAGTTTAGTTGAGGGTCGGATCAGAGACTGACACGGAACGATATACAGTAACTTGATCTGTAGCGTGTCCTCTGTGCAGCACGAGTCGTACAAACAACTGGAAGAGGACTCTCTTGAAGAGGGGTCGGGGGGAGACGACAGGCGCTGCAAGGATCAACAGTGTCTAGTGCAAGTGGCTTCTGGTGATGGGATGATCGCGCACATCGACGCAGACGGAGCCGGACCCATCATCCCTGCCAGCACGGGCACTGCCGACAGAGTGACCAGCGTGCCGACTCGGCAATCACCTCAGCGGTGGAGAGAGACTGACGAAGCAGCCGAGAGCGCCGTGTGCTCAACACACACGCTGACCCAGCGCCCCTGCTGGGGACCTGAGGTATTTTCATTACAAGGAACGCAGCACCTCGGAAGCCGCAAGAAGACAACCACCACGAAGTGGCGGTGACGTCACCACGACGCTTGTTCCAGACTATGTTTTTAAGCTTTCAGTTTCATTTATTAGGTACTAGCGGTAAGTACCCGGCGTTGCCCGGGTGAAAAATATCTTTAAAACCTTCTCTTAAAAATTTCGATTTAAAGCTTTCGTGACTGCAGGGATTCATCTTCTTGGTTCTTTCGGTAAATTCACGTAGAAGGGAATTCTCACGATGTTTCGGCCACAACGCAAGCAGCCGTCCTCAGGTGAAGAACAGGTTGTCGGAAAGACGGCGTCTGAATGAACAACACCAGGCTTGGCAGCGTATATTTAAGCTGGGTTGGAGGGGGAAGAGCGCCTTGACAAAGGAATTGCATATCAAAATGAATTTAGCATATTTATGGAAAATGCAGATATGGGATTAGTCACTACTTGTGGAATGAGTTACAGCAGCAGAGGTTAGTGTAAATGCGATTGGTATTACCTTAGAGTCGCGGCATCTCTTCATAAAGGTGAGACTCGATTAGCTGAGCCTTCTTATCACGGAGTTTGTTGTCTCTTAAAAACCTTACATATACACACACAGATACTAAGGTATTGTGAAAGCCTGGTGGGCCGTTTGTACATTTCTCCAACAACAAAATTATAAGAAGCTTGCAAAAGTCCAAAAAGTTGTAGAAATTGTGGGGTAAATAGTTGATGTAAAAGGATTCCGAAAATTGTGGACACCCCCCCTCAAAAATTATATTTACACCACCCTACATACAACAGAGGAAGTAGTATATATTGACTCTGTAGTTGTATCTACTGACTGTACAGTAGTATCTACTGAGCCAGTAGTAGCTATTGACTGGAGTATTATTTACTGTCTCACCTTTATGATTGTAGTAACGACTGACCGTAGTAGTATCTACTGGGCCTACAGTAGTATCTACCGACTCTATAGTAGTAACAACTAACTGTATAGTAGTGTAATAAACCTTCTCGAGACGGCTTCCGGAATCAGTCCTTTTATTTTCCAACTTCCACAGTTACACACACACACTCCCCGTTGCTGACAGACAACGGAAAGCGGGCAGACTCCCAGCTAAGTCCCCACCGCGCACGTGGCACCCAGAGCCCCGTACGCGCGTGACTCCTGCTCTTTTCGTTCCCAGGTCTGCTCCTGACTCCTCTCTCCTCCTATTAATCCCTGGGTCACGTGGTACCCCTGAGCCAATCCTCCGTAGTCAGCGTTGACCGTTCCAGATGGTTCCCCGTCAATCCCGGGACCACGCCTCTGATCCGGCTTCTCATTAGCTTAGGCCCCGATTGGCCAGGCCAATCACCCCTGCTAACATGCCGTGATCATGTCGTGATCACGCTGAGGCCATGCTCCTTGGCTCGCCCCTTTATTGGCTACAAAGCGGGACCGGTAAGCCAATCACCACGTGAGCCCTCCATGGCTGTTATTACAGTAGTATCCACTGACTATAGTAGTATCCACTGACTATAGTAGTAACTACTAACTCTATAGCAAGATCTACTCACTCTATAGTAGTATCTACAGACTCTAATAGCTACTCACCATATTAGTATGTACTGACTGTATAGTAGTATATACTGACTGTAGCAGTATTGACCGAGCTGTAATGGTATATACTGACTGTTTTAGTATCTACTAACTCGATTTCGCAGTATCTACCAACTCGATAGCAGTATCTACTATCACTACAACAGTGCATACCAGCTGAGGTGGTACCTATCACTACAGCAGTGCATACTGACAGTGATGGCACCTGCTATGACTACAGCAGTGCATAGTGACTGTGGTGGTACCTATGATTACAGCAGTGGATACTGATTGTGGTGGTATCCTATGACTACAGCTGTGCATACTGTGGTGGGACCTGCTTTCACGACAGCAGTGCATAGTGACTGTGGTGGTTCCTGCTATGATTACAGCAGTGCATACTGACTGTGGTGGTACATGCTATGAATACAGCAGTGCATACTGCTGTGGTGGTACCTGCTATGATCACAGCAGTGCATACTGTGGTGGTGGAACCTGCCATGATTACAGCAGTGCATACTGACTGTAGTGTTACCTGCTCTGATGACAGCAGTACATACTGTGCTGGTACCTGCAATGATGACAGCAGCACATACTGTGGTGGTACCTGCTATGACAGCAGTACATACTGTGGTGGTGGTACCTGCTATTACAGCAGTGCATACTGCTGTGGTGGTACCTGCTATGATTACAGCAGTGCATACTGCTGTGGTGGTACCTGCTATGATTACAGCAGTGCATACTGACTGTGGTGGTACCTGCTACTTTACTTAATAACCAGGCTACAGTCTGCATTATAAACTGCCAGTACACTCACCCAGCTTAATAACAATTTGCACAGTCTACATTACTGACTGCCAGTACACTAACCCAGCTTAATAACTATTTGTACAGACTACATTATAGACTGCCAGTACACTCACCCAGCTTAATAACCAGGCTCCAGTCTGCATTATAGACTGTCAGTACACTCACTTTATTTAATAACCAGGCTACAGTCTACATTACTGACTGCCAGTACACTCACCCAGCTTAACCAGGCTACAGTCTACATCATAGACTGTCAGTACACTCACCCAGCTTAATAACTATTTGTACAGTCTATTTTAAGAATCGATTCGTGGCGCGCTCGGGTTTATTTTAATTTACTGAGTTTTATTTTCATTGCTATGTTATGTTTTAAAGTTTTCAGAAGTTTTTAAATGTATTTTCCCCCGGGCAACGCTGGGTATATCGACTCTAACAAGAATGGGGTGTCGAGGCCTAGTCCCGTGCAGAGCCTCCGGCCTCGCCTAGATTGCCCAGCCGGGCGAGGCTGGGGGCTGGGCCGCTACCACCACCGCCCACCCCCCCCCCGCGCTAGAATAATACTGTCTAATCTCTATAATATTATTATCTACCGACCCTATACTAGTAATTGCACACATTGGGGTGGGGGGAGAGAGGAGGACGTGAAACTTTGATGTATTTACCTCAGCGTCGCGTGTAAATGTGTGCGCATATTTTTAACGCGAGTGAGAAATGGCGTCCACCCTGCAGCGACGGCGCGCTGCCCGTTGCCAAGGGCAACCCTCGGTCAGCGTCTCGCGCAACGGCGTGCTAAATAAATAAATAAAGAGAAATCGCACTAAATCGATAATTAAATCGCTTTAAAGTTTAGGGACGAAAAACGGAAATGCCTATTCCCACCGCGGGGCTCGGGGCGTGCCTCCCGGCAAAAAAACTGTCTCGACAAACCCCACGGTCCGAGAGCCATATCCCCCGCGAGCGTATGCAGACGGACGGACAGAGAGACAGACAGACAAAAAATTAGTCTTAAATGTTAGATGAATGATCCGACTATGCTCCCGATTTCAAAGACAATGAGTTGCCCCAGAGTCAGATGCGTCCTGATTCACAAAAATACCATTTGACCCCTATCACAAAAATAACAGCTCTCATGTGAGTTATATTTACAGATTACCACCAAAACAGATACTTTGTCCGGACATCACATATTCCATGTTTGACATTAATACACAAAATGTTGCATGTACGTACAAAAACAGACAAGTTTCTTTCAATTATGATTTAAAATAATCAAAAGGCACATTGGCAACATTTTATTACTATAATGAAATGTACTGCATCACGTTACAATGTATTTACAAGTTGATCTCTGACGAGATTAGGCCTATATGTGCAGCACTCTTATAGAGGGAAGCCAAGTAGTAGTATATTCTCTATTTGTTGCAGAGGTTCAAGGTTCAAATCCGACTGGCATATCATCGCCCCCGACTTACAAAATCCTATCCACATGCAGGCCAGTGAACGGTCACCTTGTGGCACACAGGGGCAGATGCCCATTATGGGCACCCATCGAGTGTCTAAGATGAGATATGATACAAAACACTTGAGTCACTCCTGGTTAGAGATCGCCCCAACCCACAGGTTCACAAATACTGGCCATTCTTACACTGCAGTTTGAACCGAGAAATTGAGTGTTCAACTTCATATTATATTCATTAGAAAGGCATGTGACAAAAGTGCATCCATTGGTGCTTAATTGTCTTAAGCTTGCACATCTACCTGGTCTCCATTTGACTTTGTATTGTCTAAGAAGTCCACCCACACCTCCACATCCACAAACTCCTGGGAGTTGCCTCGCTCTGCCTCACAGCCAGAATTTAGTTCCTGCTTCACACTGCCTCCATCTATGTGAAGGTCCGATTTTGGAGTTGAATCATCTTCAAATTTAACCTTCACTTCTACGCTCTTCACTGTTACTTCTTCACATTTCACCTTCGCCTCTTCATATTTTACCTTGATACCTTTCAAAGTGTCCAGGCTGGGGTTGTCTTCTGGTTCTTGTTTCATGAACAATGGGGTCATTGCAGCACTTTGACTTTCACAAGCTGATTTCAGATTACACTTCTTGTGGATTTTCTGATGCGTGTGTGTTCTCTGGTGTTTTTTAAGATTTGATGACTTTGCAAACACCTTCCCACACAGAGTGCACTTGAAAGGTTTCTCTCCTGTGTGTGTTCTCTGGTGTGATTTAAGAATTGATGACTTTGAAAACGCCTTCTCACACACAGTGCACTTGAAAGGTTTCTTTCCTGTGTGTGTTCTCTGGTGTTGTTTAAGAGTAGATGAATCTGAAAATACCTTCCCACACACACTGCACTTGAAGGGTTTATCTCCTGTGTGTATTCTCTGATGGGTCTGAAGATTTGATGACTTTGCAAACGCCTTCCCACACAGAGTGCACTTAAAAGGTTTCTCTCCCGTGTGTGTTCTCTGGTGTTGTTTAAGAGTAGATGAATACAAAAATGCCTTCCCACACACACTGCACTTGAAGGGTTGATCTCCTGTGTGTATTATCTGGTGGGTCTGAAGATTTGATGACTTTGCAAATGCCTTCCCACACAGAGTGCACTTAAAAGGTTTCTCTCCTGTGTGTGTTCTCTGGTGTTGTTTAAGAGTAGATGAATCTGAAAATGCCTTCTCACACACACTGCACTTGAAGGGCATCTCTCCTGTGTGTGTTCTCTGGTGTTGTTTAAGAGTAGATGAATAAAAAAATGCCTTCCCACACACACTGCACTTGAAGGGCATCTCTCCTGTGTGTGTTCTCTGGTGTTGTTTAAGAGTAGATGAAAAAAAAAATGCCTTCCCACACACACTGCACTTGAAGGGCTTATCTCCTGTGTGTGTTCTCTGGTGGGTCTGAAGATATGATGACCATGAAAATGCCTTCTCACACATAGTGCACTTGAAGGGTTTCTCTCCTGTGTGTGTTCTCTGGTGTCTTTGAAGATGTGATGACTGTGCAAACGCCTTCCCACACACAGTGCACTTGAAATGTTTCTCTCCTGTGTGTGTTCTCTGGTGTCTTTGAAGATGTGGTGACCGTGTAAATGCCTTCTCACACACAGTGCACTTGAAAGGTTTCTTGCCTGTGTGTGTTCTCTCGTGTTGTTTAAGAGTAGATGAATCAAAAAATGCCTTCCCACACACACTGCACTTGAAGGGCTTATCTCCTGTGTGTGTTCTCTGGTGAGTCTGAAGATTTGATGACTTTGCAAATGCCTTCTCACACACAGTGCACTTGAAAGGTTTCTCTCCTGTGTGTGTTCTCTGGTGCTGTGTCAATTTTCCAGTACGATCCGTGATGTTTACATGCTGGTTGCATTGTTTCCTTCTTGTACTGAGCTGCGCTGAGTGCCTTTGCTCCATCAGGCCAATTCTGCAGAGCGAGGGTCAGCTGCAGACAGAAAAGCATGTCCACACCATCTATGTGAGTATTGAGGCACAGACGAATGCATATAAACACAGTCACACATGACTTACACATCTATACATATTCATATTTTCATGATATAGTGAAAGAGATTCTCCAATTCATCACAAGGGCTGTTAAGGCACACAATGAGGGCAAATGGTCATAAATATGCCTGGACACCCTAGTGTCTTCAAAATGAATGTTTACCAAAAACTCCAAGCACACAATTTTGGTTGTCTAGCTACGACAGGAATATTTATTTAAGAAAAATTTGCTAACATAGCAAAGGCTGTTGAAAAGAATATTATTTGTATTATGCAGAAATGTATAAATTAATGTTCATTTGCAACTTAAGAGGTGTGAAGCCAGGCTCAGATGAGCTTGAATGCGAGGATGAACAGATCTAACTTCAGCTGCATATGTGGAGTGTTAATTTCCTGACTGTTTCCATTCTTATAAAATCTTGTTCTGTACCTGTTGAATTCCATGACGAAATGGGGCCTTGCATATGTTCTACAAAAAGATCACCTCCCTGGGAAAACTTTAGTGACAGCGGGAATTCATATTCTTTGGTTATTTCGGTAAAAGTCACGTAGATAGAAAATAATAAAACAAATAAAGTGAAAGAAGAAAAAAACTAAAGTAGACTGTAGCCTGGTTCTTAGCCTTGGTGAGCGTACTGGCAGTCTATAATGTAGACTGTAGCCTGGTTCTTAACCTCGGTGAGTGTATTGGCAGTCTATAATGTAGACTATTGCCTGTTTTTTTTTATGAGACCTTTGCAATGGACTAGACCTTGGCGATGGACACTCACAGCTTTGTATGTAAAAAAGTCCAGGCAGCTTCCACATAGTGTTACAGAGCCTAATGAAAGAATGCTGCTAGACTAATTTGAAGTGAGACTTTGGATGCCAAACCAGAGCTTGTCGTGAACACATTAACCAGGTATAGGAGCTCCTCCACCACGTGTAGAACGACCTGATTATTCATGAAAATCTGAGTAGGTGCAGTGTTGTATGACATTAAATTCCCAGGGAGGTGTCCTTTGGGTCTTTCGGTAAAGTCACGTCACTTAACCGAAAGACCCAAAGAATATGAATTCCTGCAGTTACGAAAGCTTTTGGTCAAGATTTTCCCAGGGAGGTGATCTTTTTGTAGAACATATGCAAGGCCCCATTTCGTCATGGAATTCTCCAGGTACAGAACACGATTTTCCAACTCAATATCATTGAGTAGCCATGACCAGATCATCAACATGCGTAACATCGTTGACCAGCAGGGGACGATCCCTTGACTATAACCAGGCATCGATTAGCGTATCATTGTTACTGTATGAAATGCAATTTTTTATAAGGCCATTGTGAGCTTCTCAAAACACATCATTATTTGAAAATGCTACGTAATGTAATGTATGCGGCCAGAGGGAATTTCGGCCACAAGCCAAATTGAAAAGGAAAGGGATCCGACTCCTGGTCACGCAGCTTTAGATGGGCCTGCCTAAAATCATAAAAATACTCAACGAATGTGAACAGAGGCAGAGACATCGAAAACAAAAAAACAATCCAAAACCCCAAGCCTCTTTATGGTACTATAGGCCGTAATTACACCAAAAAAGCAGAGATCTAGTTCCTGCTGAAAATCCGTACTCCTGTGCTATAGCTGATGGACAAAAAATACAGCAGCCCCTTGAATAGCGCAGAGGTTACATTCTTGGAAAGTGCCGTGTGAAAGGTAAAATGGCGATATTCAATACTTAAGCCTTACCTAAATAATGGGGTGAGGTTAACGGCAACTAAAATATACATCACATTTTAAATAAGTACTGTACTGTATTCCCAATAAACTAAATTACTGAAATAAATGTGGAGAAACCGTATACAAAACATTCCAAGATGAGTATAAATGTATATAAATAAAGCAGACTTACTGTTTTTTTGAGAACCAATTGCACCAACACTTTGAAACATACACACATCAAAAATTCCATGCGTACTCAAGGGTAAGTTATTATGTTTTTCACACAATTTTTAGCTTACCTGTTCACCTTCAACACCTGTAACACCTGCACACTCCAACACCCCGCTGCTGCTATATTTTTCTCATTTACCACATTATCCTTACATATTATCAGGCCTGCATTTTTGCCACAAAATTCATTAACTTCCGGCTCCTTACTGTCCTTTCTACACACGCACGGCTCACCTCTAATATACTGCAATATTTTATCATGGGACCTTTGCCAGTACCAAAATATGAGAATAGGTTTTCCCCATTTTTCTGGCAACGAAACAGATGTTAAGATGTTAAAACACCAAACTGAAACCTTTTACAAGGAATCATGTGTGCATTAACCACAATACAGTGATACCTCGGTTCACGAACGCTTCGGTTCACGAACAACTTGGTTCACCAACAGAAAATTTCATAACAATATGCTCCGGTTCACGAACTCCGCTTCGGTTCACGAACAGGAGCCGCGGCCATTTTTATGCTAATTCCAGGCTGTCACATGGTCGTGACTTCCTGTAGGAAGATCGTGGAGAGAAGAAGAGACACAGAAATAAGTACTGTGAGTACTGTGAAGACACTTTCAGTGACTTTTTGATTTTTTGTGTGCTTTTTAGCACATGCAGTACTGTACTGTACTACTGTACTATACTGTACTTACTGTATTGTACAGTTCACCCGTTTGAGTGCTTACTGTAATGGACTCCCAAACAATAACCGCCTCCCACTCGCCTCCCACCTGCCTTCCTCCATGCCAGAAGTCATCTCAAGCAAGGTTAGTGTTCTCTCTTTATACATTACTATACTGTACAGTACTACAGTAATGTGTATTATCATTTGTTTCATATTTTTGTGCTTCAAAAACCAAAAAAAAGGTCAGAACGGATTAACCGGATTTACATTGAACCCTATGGGAAAATGTGCCTCGGTTCACGACCAATTCGGTTCACAACCAGAGTCAGTTCACGAATTAAGTTCGGGAACCGAGGTATCACTGTACTTGTGGTCAGAATGCAAACAAAAACACTGATAGAAAATGCATGGTCTGCTGCTGAGGCAGACTGTTGTAAAAGGTTTGAAATGGGTGTAGCCCAAGGGTCATAAAGAAGTGGCCGAGGCTAGTGATGTTAATGTAATAAATTAGCATGTTAATGTGAAATCGAAGAGTAGTGCAATCCAAAGCGGCCTCCCTACAAGACAGAGAATGAGCGAGGCTCTACCTGGGTAAACAACTACCACCACGACAACAATAACCACGATGTGAACTTCTCACTTCAGATCTCCGTGAGCGCGCACGAAAATAAATCACGCTTGGTAACACAGAGCGCACGGCCGAGATACACTGCCGAGATCATCGATGACCACGCCATCGAGAAAGTTCAGCAGCATCTGACAAACACAACGGGGTGTCAGCCAGATGCGAACTGCCCATATCCCCCATCTAACACCGTTGCCGAGCACGCGCACGTGTGAGAGATTTGTTTGCGAGCGTGCGGAATTACGACGGCTGGGACGGGATAGCACCATTGCAAGTCTTCTTCCAGAGGAGGAGGTGAGGGGGGGGGGGACGAGGGAGCCTCCGAGACCCCGTGAGACAACCCCAGGATGGGTGGCAGGGATACAGACCGGCATAGGAGATATCACAGGCCATGCGACCCAAGTACGCGAGGAGGTAACCCAAGTATGCGGGGAGGTGACCCAAGTACACCTGAATGTGACCAAGCTGCAGTCCACAGCGGAGATAGTCCAGTCCGAGGTGGGAGGGCTACGCTCCATGGTCGGAAGGCTAACCAGGCGAGTATCTCAATAAGAGGCAGAACTCGAACAAATGCGCACTTAGGAGGGTAAGGGGAAGTAGGCAAGGGGCCTCTTATGGAGCCACCGCCCTTCCCCGTGCGTGTTATCTATGCGACCAATGGGGGCATCTCGTGAGAGACAGTCCCCAGATCGCCCGCGCGAGAGAAGCACCAGGGTTAAACACCAAGGCCTCCCTAAAGAGGGGACCACAGAGGGGTGCAATCCACGTGGTCCCAACACAAATAAACTGTCATGATAATGGTGACGAATGACCCCCACGCAGATATTGACAACACCCCAGAATGCGGCGACTGCGGGTGACTGGCTGCGGGAGCTGGTGGCAGGAATAATGGGGGCCACGTCGCTCGTGGAAGGGCAGGTGAACAGGCGGCAAACCCGGATTCTGCTGGACACGTGGGGCGGTAATGTCACTCGTGAGTGCAACACATTGCAGCGTGGTCGGGGTTGAAGTGGGCCGCCGACAGGCCCCGGATCGTGCGCTGCACACTGCAAGTGGAAGTGGGATGGGACTGCTGGGGAGGGTCACCCTTAAGGGTCGCCTCGGACACCAGGTGTGTAACCAGGAGTTATACGTGTCGAGCGTGTTATGCCACGAGTGTATTGCTGGTACCGACCTCCTGGAAAAGTTGGGGCTCAGCGTGCAGCCCCGCCGGCGATGTGCCACCGTGGAGGGCAGCAGGGAGCAGATTCCTTTCTTGGGATAAGAGCCGGGTTGCCCTCGCTTCGAGCCCGTGGCCGCTATCCTGGCGTCGGCCGTCACCGTCGGCATTGGTGTTCCACTGGGTTTGCCGTTTTTCTCCCAAACCTAAACTCAAAATATATTTGGAGGTGGTCAAACAGTCCAATGCAGGACCCTCCTGAAACATAATCTTTAACTGCTAAATAAGAAATTAAATTGGAAAACCCTCAAACACAGTACACTATTTTTATTTTACCAGGTGAGGCCATCTGAGCTGCATAGCTCTTTTTCAGAATCGACCTGGACACAAATGATAGCTCAACTTAGTGGGTTAAAATATGGAAATGTATTGTAGCAAAATTCTCAAAATGCATGTTTCTAAATGTGGAGAAAAATCAATGCCACTACAGGGAGAGAGAGAATTATTTTTTTTTAACTGCAATTATAAATGCGTCAGGGTTGGAATCGAACTCACGCACACAGAGTACGCTCACGGAGTACACTAACACAAATGAGTACACTCGCTCACTCGGATTATTTTTTCTCCGGGTCCTTCGATTTTCCCCCCCACATTTAGTAACATGCATTTAGATTATTTGGCTGCTACAATCTTCCACGTGTAAAACCATTTCGTTGAGCTATCATCTATGGCCAGGTGGCTTCTGACAAAAGATCTAACAGCTCTGTGAGCCTTGGTTGGTAATATAAAAATAGTTTACACCATTGGAATCTCATTTGCCATTAAAAAATATAATTGTTTTTTTTACCCTTTTATCTGGCAACAAAACTGACACCTTTTTTTACGAGGAGTCATGTTTGCATAGACCACAATACCTGAAGTCATAATGCAAACAAAAAACATAACTCTGATAATGTATGCACTGTCCTTAAAGTAGATTGGTCCACACCCGAGACAGCTTTCCTTAGAGCCTAGTCTCACATGGTGTTGGACCAGATGACGCCAAAAGGCACACAACTCAAAGACAATGCACCATCAGAGAGAGATACTAGGCTCTAAGGAAAGCGGTCTCAGGTGTGGACCAATCAACTTCAAGGACAGTGCATACATTATCAGAGTTATGTTTTTTGTTTGCATTAGGACTGCAGGTATTGTGGTCTATGCAAACATGACTCCTCGTAAAGAAGGTGTCAGTTTTGTTGCCAGATAAAAGGGTAAAAAAAACAATTATCATTAAAATAGTTGTTCATCGGTCTAAAGGATGCATCAGCAAAACCAACTCGGCAGAACGCTCCTGAATTAGAGTGCTAAGACTCATTGTGGTCATGTACTCGAGTGTGCACCATGGTGGCTGGGAGATGGTAACTGCCTCTCATGGTTTACAGGAGCTGGTGGGTTCTATCCCGATCCCTCCTGTATATTTGCAGTTTGCGTGTCTCTCTCTCTCCCCGTGGTCGCGTGGATTTTCCTCCGGTTTTCCCCTCCACATTTAGAGTCAACATCACCACGCGTTTAGAGTATTTGACCGACAGACATTTCCACACGTTTATAAGCCACTTTGTTCTGGACTGGTAGCTTCAGAAAACAAGAGCGGTATAGCAGCTGAAGTGGGCTTGGCCTTGGTAGGATAAAAAAA